TTTCATCAAAATCTGGTGTTTGGCCACCAGACGAATATACACTATTCAGTTTGGTCGAACATAGAAAGATTTACATTGGACTTCCTTTCAAATTCCATCATCAATAATGATAGAATAATTTTTGGACATTTTATAATCGATAATGAAGATCCATGTATAAGTAAAACAAAGACGATTTGTGTTTAATTCCCGTTTGTTTACAAAGACAGTCCGCCATTACGTCATATTGATCACATGACCACATGACGTCATTTTTGGAACCTCCGTTAACCTCATAATCTTGATAGGTTAAGGTAATATTTACAATATTTACATCAAAAGCCGAAGCACTGTATCGCACAATTTTGCAGCTATACCTGTAAAGAAAACAGTTTACACGGCTTTCCAAAAGAAGCTGGTATGCGTCAAATTCGTACAATTGAAAAGGGCTGACTTCAAGGCGCCGACTGAAAACTCTCAGTCTGTTATTTATTTCACTTCAAAACTCTTTATTTTTATAGAAAATATTCTAAATTGAAAAGATGACATAGCCAGAAAAGTGTTTTAAAATTCGATTTTGCATATGAGACTCCATTAGAATTATATTATTAATTAATACTAAAAAAATAGTCATTTAAACTTACTAGCCAAAAAGGTGAAATTTAAATTTTCCAGCACAAAACGGTGGTAGTGGCGGTCATTTTGGAACACCCTTGAAGCGTAACAAAAGCGAAAAATGAAGTTGATTTCATGAAATTTCAGTTTATATGAAACGCAAAACTCATAAATGATTAAAAACTATCATTTCTTAATTTAAAGTATATTTTGAGCAGATAATTTCATATTATTTCAATTATTTGATCAGAAGGTCTACTTTCACTTTATCATTATTTGATAGGCCTATCCTATCATGACCTATGTGTGTATTTTACCAATTAAGATTTGGGAATGTACGAACTCATGATATTATGAAAATTACCTATTGTCTTTAAAATAAATTATAATTAAGTTACATGTGTTATAAAATAGTTAAAATCTTATAATGACTTGTTTTGTATATCACGTATAAAATGAGTGTGAAGAAATCATACAAATAACGACCATATTTCTCAAATATTTATCCCATTCATCATGGAATATCTCAAAGACTAATCAAGATATTTTAATTCTGTAAAGAGATATGAATATT